TCACTCTTGCCATGCCCTGATAACAGTGGTGAGTGCAGGCAGTCTGCACACATTAAGGCGTTTTTCCCTTACCAGTTGAGTGTTCCTAAAGGAAGGCCATTTACCAGTTAAACTCCACCATTTTGCCTCTTAGTGCACATGCTTGAGCCTACTTGCCTAGCTCCTGAGAGCTTATCAGAAAGCTACTGAGCACCATTTTAGGTGTTTTCTATCCATTGGGAGACTTTCCCTGGAGTCTTTCCCTGGAGCTGGCTGCGACCAATTATTATTGTAGAACGACAGTTTAACAACCACCTGACCATCACTGATGGTTGTCTGACATTCCTGGTTATAGGGTGAGGGCCTCTCCTGGCCTGCTCTTATCTGCCTAACTTTCTTTCTACAATCACTAGGAGTTTAGCAAGGGAATAATAAAGATAACAGTCAGAATGGTTTTCTTCCTCAGGGGTGGGAGTAAGAAGAGGATTCCAATGCGTTAGGACACTGGTAGTGTGGAGAAAGCTGTTTATTATTCCATATACCTTGTAGTGTGTGTGTGTGCGTGGTTTTATTGGTATGATATATTATCTAATTTTTAAAAGCAACTAAAATATGATTATTTGTTTCTAGAAAATCTAGAGCATAAAGCATATGGAAACATCTGTTTGGTATACTGAAGACATAATGCTTGCTTTGACTGGGAAAATCACAATAACTTGTTCTTGAATGTCATTTGCCATTTTCAAAAGTATCACCACATTGTTGCCAAATGGTAGTGTGAACTTGGGGTTGCCAAATATTCAGATCTTTACAAGAAAAGCTGGAAATAAAAGTTTTTCATGTATGCAACTAATTTAACTATTTGGAAATGGTAAATGAATCAATACTATGAAGGTCAAACAAAAGCCATCCATTTGTAAGTTGCCAGGCTATGACTTCTCTTCTACTCATAGTCTCTTAGAGGTAGTATTAGGCCCCGAGTAAGTAAGGTCATTCCTTTTAGATAGGACATGAGCTCTTCCACAACTCCCCATTCTTCTCACATCCTGCCATCTTCATTCTTCTATATTTTCTGCCTGTGACCACGAGATGGCTGTTTGTAAACCAACCCCTCTTCCATATTCTATGACATTGATAGGAATCTACCTGTATTTCTCTCAATTCACCATTAGAGGGCAGACATGGAAAATAAAAGATGAAAAACCATAGATTTTGCAACTACTGGTATGTTCAGAGAAAAGAATCCAGGGATCAACCACAAAAGTCATTTTGTGTTTTTCTGAGTTTAGAAGTATTCTGCAAACATAAAGTATGAGGGTGGGAGTGTTCATGCTTTGCAAGAGCTGACCTCTATAGAGAGTCTGCTCTAAGAATCAGAGCTTGGCATTGCTTAGGGGCCTAGCTCAGGACAACCAGGAACATGGCTTCTTTCAGAAATTCTTACAAATAAGTAAGAGATTCCATATGCTCTCTCACAGTCACACTTTTCTGCTGAACACGTCTGTCAAAGGTAATCTCTTTGATAATCATACATTCTTTGGGGAAAGACTATGGAGCAGAGTAGGGATAAGCCAGCCTCTCCCAGTGGGCAATGGGCAATCACAGTGTTCAGTAGCTGGAAAAGGTTTGGCAACCAGCTCTCAAAACAAACAAACAAAACAGCTCTGACTTGTAGCATTTGCCAGTTTTTATGGTGCACATACTCCTTCCTTGGCCAACTTTAAGCTTCCAATATGGTGTCACTGAATACACAGTTGGGAAGAGATGCACACAATGGGCTCTTGCCAACCACAACACGCCTGCTTAACCACACCACTGACTCCTAGCTCCCACCTCCATTTCAAAGTTACATCTTTACTGTAAAAGCAGGCCTGTCCCTAATATTTTTAGGGTTTAGGATACAGGTACAAATGGAGGCCCACATACTTTATGTCTAGACATTTAAGGTATAAATCAAACTAACAAACTGTTTGCTAAAATATGTTTTATTCTGTTGCCTTGACAAATATACCTTTATAACTACCTGGAAAGCCAGGTTTAAATTTAGAATTCTATGCCTGAACACGGTTACATAGAAGAAGCCATCTCTGGCCCTCCATCTCAGGCTAACTCCCCTTCTCTTCCCACCCTCAGCACCGACAAGCCCTAGCCCTTGCTTCCAAGCTCTAACCACACACTCTGCAAACAGCTGCCCCTTGGCCATTTCTTAGGCCTGGGTGTGAGCACATTGAAAGGGTAGTCTGTGCACAGAATGGGATGAGGGAGGAGGCCACATTCACCTAAAAGTGGACTGGTGGTTATTTGAGAAGGGAATTACAGGGCCTCAAGTGCCTGAAGCATGGAGGTGGGGGTTAGGCTCCAAGAGGGCATGTCCTCGTTGCTCTGGGGATCCCTCACTCTTTGGGCCCAAGACCAACATGGCCCAGGACCAACATGGGCCTTTTAAAGTACAGGACTCAGGTCAGTGCACTTTCTCTCCCACTCCTGAGAGTGACTACTGCGCAAAAGTCTCTCCTCTGTCAGGATCTTCTGATGACCTTCAGTGTTAAACATCCCTCCCTCATTGAGGCCCCTGAAATTCCAATCACTCAGACAGTATGTACTGGTTACTACAATGTGCTGGCTCTGAGCTGACAGCAAAGGAAGGAAAAGATTCTTCTGCCTCAACATTTCTTTCTTTTTTTTTTTTTTTTTTTTTCCAGACAGAGTCTCGCTCTGTTGCCAGGCTGGAGTGCAGTGGAGCGATCTCAGCTCACTGCAACCTCTGCCTCCCAGGTTCAAGCAATTCTCCTGCCTCAGCCTCGTGACTAGCTGGGATTACAGGCACCCACCACCACGCCCGGCTAATTTTTGTATTTTTAATAGAGATGGGGTTTCACCATGTTGACCAGGCTGGTCTTGAACTCCTGACCTCAGGTGATCCGCCTGCCTCAGCCTCCTAAAGTGCTGGGATTACAAGCATGAGCCACCACACCCAGCCTCTGCCTCAACATTTCCAAAAGGTTAGTCCATTATATTTGGGTCTTCACTTGTACTTTAGTGCAGGGGTCAGCAAACCAGGACCCACAGGCCAAATCCTGCCCACTCGTGTTTGTACTGCCCATGACCTTAGAATACATTTTGAAAGGGCTAATGAAAAAAATCAAAAGAAGTATATTTCTGGACATGAGAAAACTATACAAATTCTAATTTCATTGTCCATAAAGAAAAATGTACCAGAACACAGCCCTCTTGGTTTACATATTGTCTATGACTACCGTGGCTGTTGACTGGTTGTGATGGAGGCTCTTTGGTCTACAAAGCTCAAAATATTTACTCCCTAACCCTTAAGAAAGTTTCCCAACCTGTACTTTAGAGTTAAGTTTCTTTCCTGTGTTTCTCCAAAGAAGATTGGTGGTACATAGAGTAAGAAGGATGTGAGCCCCTGAGAGTGACAGACAGGACTGGCTGGATTTCCTAGGCCAACTAAGGATTCCTAAGCCTAGCTGGGGAAGGTGACCACATCTACCTTTAAACACAGGGCTTATAACTCAGCTCACACCCAACCAATCAGGTAGTAAAGACAGCTCACTAAAATACCAATTAGGCTAAAGGCAGGAGGTAAAGAAATAGTCAATCATCTATCACCTGAGAGCACAGGGGGAGGGGACAATGATTGGGGATGATTGGGGATATAAACCCCAGGCATTCGAGCGGGGAGTGGGCAACCCTCTTTGGGTCCCCACCCATTGTACGGGAGCTTTGTTTTCACTCTGTTAAATCTTGCAACTGCACTCTCTTCTGGTCCATGTTTGTTAACGGCTCTAGCTGAGCTTTCGCTCCCCGTCCACCATGGCTGTTTGCCGCCGCCACAGACCTGCCACTGACTTCCCCCCTCTGGATCCAGAAGGGTGTCCACTGTGCTCTTGATCCAGCAAGGTGCCCATTGCCACTCCCATCAGGCTAAAGGCTCGCCATTGTTCCTGCACGGCTAAGTGCCCGGGTTCGTCCTAATTGAGCTGAACACTAATCAATGGGTCCACCATTCTCTTCCGTGACCCATGGCTTCTAATAGAGCTATAACACTCACTGCATGGCCCAAGGTTCCATTCCTTGGAATCCACGAGGCCAAGAACCCCAGGTCAGAGAACAAAAGGCTTCCTGCCATCTTGGGAGCGCCCACCACCATCTTGGGAGCAACCTGCCACCATCTTGGGAGCTCTAAGAACAAAGACCCACTGGTAACAAGAGGGAAGGGCTGAGAGAGGACAAAAAGGTGGACACCAGAATTTGGGGCTGGACAGATTGCAGAACTTCACCTCCTGAGAAAAAAGCCTAGGTACATAAGGACCAAAAGAGTAAGAAAAAATGGGCATGGGAGCCTGTCATGCTTCATCAACACACAGACCAGTCTTTGCCTTAGTTTCCCTCATTAATCCCATATATGGTCTCCATTTAATTGGAACTTTAAATCTCCGCTGTAGAACTCACCATAGTGCCTTTGCTGTGTAATTAATTAACTTTAGGGTTGAATGGCATTGGGGGCTCATTATTAAAACATCTACAGCAGCTCTGTCTAGTATAAAGATAATGAGAGCCAGCTATATATGTCCATATTTTCTAATAGTTTCATTTTCAAAAGTAAAAAGAAACTGGCAATATAAATGAACTATTTTACTTACACCAATATATCCAAAATATTATGATTTCAATATGTAATCAGTATAAAAATTACTGAGATATTCTATATTCTTTTTTTACACTAAGTCTCTAAATCTGGTAAATATTTTATACTGACAGCACATCTCAGTTTGAAAAATCTCATGCTAAATTTTCACCAGTAATACTTGATCTGTATTTATATTTCATAAAATTAATGGTTGAAAAAGTAGATTACGTGCCCTTTTCACAAGGTGGCGCCAAAAGCAAAGAAGGAAGCTCCTGCCACTCCTAAAGCAGAAGCCAAAGCAAAGGTTTTGAAGGCCAAAAAGGCAGTGTTGAAAGGTGTCAACAACAAAAAACAATATCTGCACGTCACCCACCTTTCTGGTGGCCCAAGACACAGCGACTCCGGAGGCAGCCCAGATATCCTCGGAAGATTGCCCCCAGGAGAAACAAGCTTGACCACTATGCTGTCAAGTTTCCACTGACCACTGAGTCTGCCATGAAGAAGATAGAAGACAACACACTTGTGTTCATTTGGATGTTAAAAACAACAAGCACCAGATCAAACAGGTTGTGTGACATTGATGTGGCCAAGGTCAACACCCTGATTCACCCTGATGGAGAGAAGAAGGCATATGTTTGACTGGCTCCTGATTACAATGCTTTGGATGTTGCCACGTTGCCAAAAAGATTGGGATCATCTAAACTGAGTCCATCTGGCTAATTCTAAATATATGTATATCTTTTCACCAGAAAAAAAAAATGTAGATTACATACTCAAAGTATTCTGAACATGCTTAAATATTTTCTAATATTATATGAAGTTTCAATTTTTAAATGTAAATTTAGATTCATTAATATTAAATAAAATTTAAAATTCAGTTCTTTAGTTGTTATAGCCACATTTCATGGGTTCCATAACCACATATGGTTAGTAACTACCATATTAGACAGAGTGGCACTAGATAAATTCATGGAAACTGAACTTCCAAGCATTGTTCTCTTTTATTGGTTTCTGTCAACAATAGGATGACAATTAATATTAACAGAGCACTTATTCTGTGCCTTTAAGCTCTTCAAGTCACAGGGAACTGTCATAAGAGCAGACATATACAGTCATGTGTCCCTTAACAATAAGAATCCCTTCTGAGAAATGTGTTGTTAGGTGACTTTTGTCATCATGGAAACATCATAGAGTATATTTACACAAACCTAGATAGTATAGCCTACTAAATACCTAGGCTATATGGTATAACCTATTGTTCCAGGGTTACAAACCTCCACAGCAAGTTACCCTACTGAATACTGTAGGCAATTGTAATACAATGATAAGCATTTGTGTATATAAACATATTTAAACTTGGGAAAGATGCCGAAAAAATACAGTATAAAAGATTTAAAAAGTATGACACCTGGATAGGGCACTTACCAAGAATGGAGTTTGTAGGACTGGAGTTGCTCTGGGTGAGTCAGTGAGTGAGTGGTGAGTGAATGTGAGGGCCTAGGACATTACTGTATATTATTGTAGATCCTATAAAGACTGTACACTTAGGCTATTCCAAGTTTATTAAAAATATTTTTCTTTCTTCAATAATAAGTTAACCTTAGCTTACTGTAACTGTTTTACTTTATAAACTGTTTACCTTTTTAAACTTTTTGACTGCTGTAATAACACTTAATTTAAAACACAAACACGTTGTATAGCCATACAAAAATATGTTCTTTCTTTATATCTTTATAAGCATTTTTTTTAACCTTTTTGTTAAAAAATAAGACACAAACACATTAGTCTGGGCTTACAGAAGGTCAGGATCATCAACACCGTTGTCTTCCACCTCCACATCGTGTCCCACAGGAAGGTGTTCAGGAGCAACAACATGTATGGAGCTGTCATCTATAAGAATGCCTTCTCACACCTGTAATCCCAGCACTTTGGGAGGCTGAGGAAGGCAGATCACTTGAGGTCAGGAGTTTGAGACCAGCCTGGCCAACATAGTAAAAACCTGTCTCTACTAAAAATACAAAAAAAAAAAAAAAAAAAAAAAAAAACCTAGGCACAGTGGTGCACATCTGTAATCCCAGCTACTCTGGAGACTGAGGTGGGAGAATCACTTGAATTCAGGAAATAGAGGTGAGATCAGCACTGGCCTGGGTGACTGAGTGAGACTCCTCAAAAAAACAAAAACAAAAAATATGCCTTCTTCCATAATATCTCCTGAAGGACCTGCATGAGGTAGTTTTACAATTAATATTTTTTATAAGTAGAAAAAGTACATTCTAAAATAACAGTAAAAATTAGAGTACAGTAAATACATAACCCAGTAAAATAGCCATTTATTATCATTATCAAGTATTATGTCCTGTACATAATTGTATGTGCTATACTTTTATAGGATTGGCAGAGCTGTGCATTTGTTTACACCAGCATCGCCACAAACATGTGAGTAGTTCATTGTGCTACAACGTTAGGATGGCTACAGGGTCACTAGGTAATAGGAAATTTTCAGCTCCATTATAATCTTATGGAACCATCACAGTATGTATGGTCCATCGTTGTCTGAAACGTCATTATGTAGCACATGACTTATATACTCTACCGAGGTAAGAAATTTACATTTTAATCCAAGAATAATGGAAACTCATTGATGAGTTTTAAATCAGCAGAATCGGGTAAATCTGGTTTATGCTTTAAAAGGATCACTCTGGGTGGAGAAAGGAAGAGAGTGCGGCAAGAGTGAGAGCAGAGAGACTGGTTAAGTGGCTCTGGCAGTCATTCAGGCTGGAGATGAGGGAGCCTGGGCTAGGGTGGAGACAGTGGAGATGGTGAGAACTGGGTCTCCAAAATCTACTTGGGAAGTGGAGAACATAGTACTTGCATACAGAAGCAGAAGTGAGAGAAAAATCAAAGATGACACTGAGGTCTTTTCCATGAGCCAGTGGTGAAGTTCCACTTACAGAGATGGGGAAGACAGAAGGCAAGCAGGCTGGAGTGGGGAGCAGGAGGGAATCAAAAGTTCAGTTTAAAGAACATCAAGTTTGAGGCACTAAATGCTCATCTCTGGTAGGCAGCTGGATATTCAAACCTGGGGCTCAGCCAGGAGGTTGAGGTTGGAGATGTCAGTTTGGGAATTTGAGGGCCAATTTTATAGGTCAAGTTGCCTGGGCTAGAGCCCCCAGTTAATCAAATATTAACCTAGGTATTGCTGTGAAAATATTTTATTGCTGTGACTAAAACTCATAATCAGTTGAATTTAAGTAAGGGAGATTATCCTGATTCAATCAATTGCAAGACCTTAAAAGTAGAACTGAGGCTTCCCTGAGAAAGAAGTTGTTTTGCCTATGAACAGCAGTTCACTCCATGCCCAAGAGTTACTCTTCCTGACAGCCTGTGCTATGTAAGAATCATATAAGAAATGCCTTGCAATAAATCTCTTAATATATATTCTTGCTTGCTCTCTTTCTCTGGTTGAACGCTATCTGATATAGGAGTCCTTAACAAATACATGATACAGATGGTATCTTATGCCAAGCTTGTCCAACTCGCGGCCTGAGGGCTGCACGCCACACAGAATGGCTTTGAATGTGGCCCAAAAACATTATGAGATTTTGTTGTGATTTTTTTTTTTTCCAGCTCATCAGCTATTGCCAGGGTTCGTGTTTTCTATTTGTGGCCCAAGACTATTCTTCTTCCAGTGTGTTCCAGGGAAGCCGAAAGATTGGACACCCCTGTCTTATACCATGAGACTGTGTGAGATCTTCCAGAAAAAGAAAAGAGAAGGACCAAGGACACAGCCCAGAGTAAATCAACATTTAGAGGTCAGTTAAAAGAGAAAACAAAACAGAGAAATAGCCAATAGCGTAGTTTTCCCTTCTGAGTGTTTATTAGGTTTGGCAATTCAGAAGTCATTGGCAAACTTAGCAAGAGTGACCATTTTTGTAGAATAGCGAGATCAGAAGCCATATGCCTCATGTGCCTTCATCTTGAATCTTCACAGCAACCCTTAAAGCTAAGCATCATTAACCTCCCATATTGTTCAATATTATGTGTGGTGTTGAAGTCTGAAGCTCTGGAGCCCAAGTGCCTGAATTCAAACCCTGTCCCCTCTGCCTACTGACTGTGTTACCTGGCACATTATTTAACCAGTTGAACCTCAGTTTTCTCATCTGTAAAATGAAGTTACTGATAAACCCTCCTTCATATCATTGCTTTGGGAACTGTATGACTTATATGTAAAGCCCAGAGAAAGCTCCCTACACAGTAACTATCTACCTTATCACTCCCCTTGTACAGATGAAGGAACCGAGGCTCTCAGAGCTATCTGTAGATCCCAAAATCAATACCAAGGGCAGAAAGATGTCAGCCCTGTTGTTCTCTAGGACTTTACACCCTGAGTTAAAATTTGAAGCATGATTCCCACTCAGGGGCAGCAGCTCAGATTCAGGTTCCTTTGAGAGCAAGAGGTTTCTCCCAGAGGACAAGTAAGCCAAGCGAGCAGCAAGACCCAGTAAACAAAGTAAATGTTTGATTAACTGGTACTCTCAGTTCCTCACATGCCCAGAGACTGAGCTGGTCATTTGCAGGTAATATGCACATGCCTTAACTGTATAACATGAGCATCACATCAAGTAGACAAAAAACTATACACCTACATACAGTAACTTGGGGTTTTGTCTCATGTTTCTGAACATGATTATCATCTTCCCAACCTATTCATTCAACTTCTCTAAGTTCTCACTGTCAATCTAAGCAAGAGAGAGGCTCTCTAAAACAAGAGGTAATTATTTGGGAATAGAGAATTGCAATAGGAATATGCATGGCATGGTAAACTACGCATGTATTCAGGGAGGGAAAGGAAGACAAGATTTTTCAAGAAAAAATGAGGAAGATTATATAATTGTTCTGAAATAATTATCTTTGGCTACAAAGATCAATAACAAGGGTAAGAACAGTCAGACTGGACAGGCAGCTGCTGGGCAGATGTCTTCGTAGAAGTAGTTTTTGCAAAATGGCCTTTGTGCAAGGTTGCAGTTTTAGTAATTTTTTGTGACAGTTTCTGTTACAGGCATACAAGCATGAAAACCCTTACTTCATGGCTTTCCCCAGCAGTATTTGTTAGAGTTTTCTTAACATTACTGACTCCATTTTGATTCTGAAAACTTTCACACCACATTCCTCTTCGGCCTGGCGATTTCTTACCTCTGTCAAGGTTATTCATTCTTTGTGAATGTTCCAATTATTTCCAGGATACTAGAAAATAAATTACAGTAGGCAAACATAATTACTATGAATAAACTCTTTAGGAAAGCAATAGGATGTTCTATATCCAGAATCAAAATTATGTTTGCCTATCATGTTTACATCAAGCTAAATCATGTTTACCTTTTACCTATCAAATTCCATTTCTGGGAATTTCTTGTGAGAAAATAACTCAAGAGAAGGAAAGGAAGTAATAGGCATGAAGATATGTTATTCAGTTAGATTTTCATATCTCTGTAGCAATTTGAAAATTATTTTCTCTCTAATGTAAAATTTTTTTAATCTAAAACTATGTCTGCACTCATCACATAACAGAAACTACACAGAAATTATGTATGCAAGGTAAAAGGAAACAACAAAGAACGTTGTTTTGGGCCATCTTCTCTCAACGGTAGCTTTATTACCTTACACAATAATTTCATCTCTCTAAGACCCAGTTTTCTCATATGTTATATGAATATAATAATCAATATCCATTAAGCATTTTCTATCTCCCAGGCACTGTGTGTGCTAAATGCTTTACAGCCCTTATCTCATTTAATCCTTCAGTGATCCTATAAACGACTCTTATCTTCTTTTTCCAGATATGGAAATTGAAGCTCAGAGACATGAAGTGCCATATGCAAGATCACACATTAAAAAGGAGAGATAGACAGGATTTGTTTTTTGTTGTTATTTTGTTTTGTTTTGTTTTCTATTAAAAGCACTTCCCATAAAAGATGGGATTTCAGTTTCTTCCCAGATGATCTGTGAACCAGGGCTCATAATCACCTGGCTATAGCTGATGGTAGTTGTGAAAATTAAAGTTAGGCTGGGCACAGTGGCTCACACCTATAATCCCAGCACTTTGGGAGGACAAGGCAGGCAGATCACCTGAGGTCAGGAGTTCAAGACCAGCCTGGCCAATATGGTGAAACCCCATCTTGACTAAAAATACAAAAAATTAGCTGGGCATGGTGGCAAGTACCTGTAATCCCAGCTACTTGGGAGACTGAGGTGGGAGAATCATTTGAACCCGGGAGGCGGAGGTTGCAGCGAGCCGAGATCACACCACGGCATTCCACCCTGGTGCGACAGAGTAAGACTCCATCTTGAAAAAAATAAATAAATAAAGTTAATATGTAAAAAAATTTTACCATATTGAACTGCTATATATCTGTTTGCCTCATGGATAACTGGGTAATCCAAAACACTAGGAATCAGGAGAGAGGATCCCAGAAGGTGCCCAGACGTAGAGGCAGACCAGAAGTTTGGGACCCAGAGAAGAATAATGATGGTAATTAATTTATATTAGGTGCTGACTATGTACTAGACACTGTTCTCATTGTTAACTCATTTAATACTTATAACAACTCTATGAAGTAGGCCGTATTATTATTCTCATTTTATAAGTCAGAAAACTAAAGCACAGAGAGACTAAGAAACTTTCATGAGGTTACATAATCATGCAATAAGCTATGTCTGGGAGAAAAATCCTAGGCAATCATGGCTCTGGATCCCACCTGCTTTGTCACCTTGCTTTAGCTGACTCTGAAAGATTGTACCAACATTCTGCCACACAATGTGGTCATTTCATAACTCTTTAAAGATTGTGGGTGAATATTTTCCTGCATTTCTTTGGAAGGTCAATGAATGTTGCCATAGTGTTTATATGATTTTTTTTTTTTTTTTTTTTTTTTTGAGACGGAGTTGCTTTTGTCACCCAGCCTGAGTGCAGTGGTGCGATCTCAGCTCACTGCAACCTCCACCTCCTGGGTTCAAGTGATTCTCCTGTCTCAGCCTCCTGAGTAGCTGGATTACAGGCGTCCACCACCACACACGGCTCATTTTTGTACTTTTAGTAGAGACAGAGTTTTGCCATGTTGGCCAGGCTGGTCTTGAACTCCTGACCTCAAGTGATCTGCCCACCTCGGCCTCCCAAAGTGTCGGGATTAGAGGTGTGAGCCACTGTACCCGGCCTGATTTCTCTGAAGAATAAACAAGTTTTAACGAGCAAACGACTTGAACAGACATTTCTCAAAAAAAAAAAATAATAATACAAATGGCCAATAATCACATGAAAAGACGCCCAATGTTACTAATCATTAGGAAAATGCAAATCAAAATCACCATGCGATACCACCTCACACACATTAGGATATCTATTATTTAAAAGGAAATGCCAAGAGTTGGTGAACATGTAGAAAAACTGGAACCTGTGTGCATTGCTGGTGGGAATGTAAAATGTTACAGCCACTGTAGAAAACAGTATGGCAGTTTTTCAACAAAATTAAACATAGAAGTACTACATAATCTGGCAATTCTATTATGGGGTATATATCAAAAAAATATGAATGCAGGAATTTTTTTTCCTTCCCCCCCCCGCCCCCCCCAATACACGGTCTTTCTAGTTGCTCAGGCTGGACTGCAGTGGCACCATCATGGCTGACTGCAGCCTCCACTTTCTAAGCTCAAGCAGTCCTTCTATTTCAGACTCCTGAGTAGCTGGGACTACAAGTGTCAGCCACCACAATCAGCTAGTTTTTTATATTTTGTAGAAACAAGGTCTCAGTATGTTGATCAGACTGGTCTTGAACTCCTGCACTCAAGCAAACCTCCTCTCTCAGCCATCTGAGATTACAGGTGTGAGCCACTATGTCTGGCTTTTTTTAAACAACACCCTCTTGTGCAGGAAAGCAAGCACTTGAATAAATATAGGTACGCTATGTTCATAGCAGCGTTATCACAATAAAGGTGGAAGCAACCTAATATGGGCTAAATCCCCCCAACAAAATTCATATGTTGAAGTCCTAACACCCAGTTCTTCAAAATGTGGCTGTATTTGGAGATAAAGAAATAATTAAGGATAAGTGAGATTATTAGGGTAGTCCTAATTCAATATGACTGGTGTTCTTATGAGAAGAGGAAATTAGAACGGGGGAAACTATGTGAAAACACAGGGAAAAGATGGCCATCAACAAGCCAAAGAGAAAGGCCTAGAAGAAATGAATCCTGTGACACCGATCTGGGACTTCCAACCTCCAGAATTGTGAGAAAATAAATTTGTGTTATTTAAGCCACCCAGTCTGTGATACTTTGTTATGATAACCCAAGCAAAGTAACGCATAACTCAAGTGTCCATTGACAGATGAATGGATAAACAAAAAAGTGGTATATACGTACAATGGAGCATTCTTCAGCCTTATAAAGGATATTCTGATACATGCCACCACATGGATGGACCTTGAAGACATTGGGCTAAGTGAAAAAAGCCACTCGCAAAAGGACAAATATTTTATGATTCCACTTATATAAGGTACCTAGAGTAGTCCGATCCATGGAAACAAAGTAGAATGGTGGTTACTAGCGCCTGGGGGAAAGAGGAAAATGGGGAGTTATTGTCTAATGGGTATGGAGTTTCAGTTTGGGAGGATAAAAAAGTTCTGGAGAAGGATGGTGGTGATGGTTATACAGCAGTGTCAATGTGCTTAATGGCACTGAACTGTATGTTCAAAACAATTAATGACTCATTTATGCATATTTTACTACAGTTTTTTAAATGAAACAACTAAGAATTCATAACAAAATAAAATGTGCCGGGAGCAGCGGCTCACGCCTGTAATCCCAACACTTTGGGAGGCCGAGGTGGGCGGATGGCTTGAGCTCCAGCCTGGCCAACATGGCGAAACTCTGTCTCTACTAAATATACAAAAATTAGCCAGGAGTGGTGGCGTGTGCCTGTAGCCCCAGATACTCCAGAGGCTGAGGCAGGAGAATCGCTTGAACCTGGAGGTGGAGGTTGCAGTGAGCCGAGATCGCGCCACTGCACTCCAGCCTGGGTGACAGAGCAAGACCCTGTCTCATAAATAAATAAATAAATAAATAAATAAATAAATAAAATAAAACAGTATTAGGTTTCAATTAGGGAAACAGAAATCATTCTAGATATTTTAAACAAAGACAAATTAATACCAGGAATTGGTTATAAAGGTGTTGGAAGGAGAAAAAGAAAAAAAGTCTCCAAAAGATTAGCAATTGCAGAAAGTGACTACTAACCCTGGGACTGAAGAGGGAAAATGGTGTCACCCGGGGCCCAGAAACACTGTACCTCTGAGGCTGCCATATCCAGGCGTCTGCCCCCGTTGGTCACAGCCTTTGCCTCTACACCCTCTTCTCTCCGCACCCTCAAGAGTCCCCACCCCCACCCTGTGACTCCCAAAGGCATTACCAGAAACCGGGAATAAATGGCTTTTCCCTTTCTTTCACTTTCCAGTCTCCTGCCAGTGCCTCCTGTTGGAAGATCCTAACAGAATAAGCTGGAAAGGATTCTGGGAAATGTAGTTTTCAGGCTTCCAGCCTAGAGGAGACTAGAAGGGCAAGCTGATTGAGGACAGACATTATCCAACCCGTAGGCCTTTAAACAAAGTGATCAGGGAAAAAAAAAAAAAAAAAAAAAAAAAGAGAAGCAGCAATGTGGAGGAATAAAATGAAGTTTTGAAACTCACAGGATCACTGTGGACATTCGTTATCTTGTATCCAGTCTTTGGTTGAAATGCCCGTTACTAATCCATGGGATTATGTGGGGCTATATCACCTCCTATTCCACGGGGGTAGACAAACCACCCAAACACATCAATCCCTATTTCCTGTCCCCTTGAGCAGTGATTGGTTCACGGGCAGATATGTGATCCAAGCAGGACTATTCACAGCCAGTTTTAGGAAATGCTGGGGATAAAAAGTATCTCTTACTTTAAGAGATCATGAGTCATAAGGATCCTGTAAGCCTGAAGCTGCAGGATCATATTCCTGTCATGGAAAGAGTGCCTAATTGGGAATATAATGTCAGCTTTTTTAGCCACTGTGTCAACTACGGGTTAGTGTTGGACCTCAAATAAATTTAAAATCCTAAAACGGCTGCTTCTCCTTCTCCCTAAAATTTTATCTTCAAAGCTTTCTCATGCGAAATGTTGCTAATGCAGTTCTCACTCTAACCCGACACAGTGGAATTTTTCTTCACCCCAAATGTAGATTTAACAAGTGATTTCCTTGTATAACCCTCTAGAGTTTCACTCAAGAGCTCCTCTCACAATATGGGTCCCTGTACTGTGACCCTATAATTATGTGCCTTGGGAACATCTGTAAATAATTACTTTGGATGGGGTCCAAGCAACTTTCTACTGAGTTCAGTTGTATACAGAAAGGTGTCTCTGTGACCTGCCAGTATGTTTGTTTGCTTAGTTGCTTAGTGATAACAGGGGTCACCAAAGCCTAAAAAAACCAAGAAACCACAACCTCTCACCCAACCACTAGGTGAAAATTAGAACACCTTGTATAGCAACCAAGTTTTGTTGGAGTATCCTATGTCTGCAGTTATTGATATGGTATTTATATAACTGGAACTCTTTCTGTTGCAGGTAACAAAACCCAAATCAACCCAGTTTAAGCACAAAGAGGAATTTGTTATTTTTTGCAAGTGAACATTTTAGGGAAATCCTCAGGTGTAATTAGATCCAGGTGGTCAACTGCCCCTAGCAGGAGTCTCTGTCTCTCTTTCTTCTCTCTCTCTCTCTCTCTCTCTCACACACACACACACACACACACACACACATCTCTTAGAAGCCCCTATATTCATTGCTGAGGTTACCATGTTGCAATTCTGTTCAAGCATCTCAGGCAAACACAGGCCTGGTACTTCGTGAGAGCACACCTACAGAGTGATGTGCCACTCAGGAAGTTATTCTTCAAGCAAAAGGTGAAAAAAACTCAAGAGACATAGGTGGTGGCCTACTAAGGATGGAGCCATGGGAGCCATCTGCCTCAGCAGGAAGGAAAATTTTATCCAGTGATTCATTGCTTAGAATCACTTGCACTAATGATAATAAAGGGCAGGCTGACTTTTAGTTAGGTTTATTATTTTTTAAATTTATCTACAGACAATGCTCCCTTAATTTCTGCATTCAGTTCGTTGCTCCCACTACGCTGTCTTTGCCTGCAACACTATATATACGAGTCCCTCCTCTCCCTCAGTACCCCAACTGGAAGAGATTATCAACAACCATAGATTCACCTATCACCTCCTAGTTAGTGGCTTCTGAACCTCTCTCTCTTTTCCTTGGTGGGATCATCCAGCTGCTTAAAGCACATTTCCACTTAAACATCCCACTGTGTCTGATACTGGACTCTACCTCGGCTTCTCCCCCTGTGATTCAGATCTCAGAAGATGAATCTATATAACAAGCCATTAAGAGAGCTGTCAGGAATGTGTGAGATGCATCCTCATCTTTAAGACAAGTCACTAAGGGCGTCCCTCAAACTGCTCCTCTTGAGGGCTTCTCAGAGACAAGGCTCTCTGCTCTCTGCTGAACATTCTGTGGGGCTGACTCAATGTGACCTGACATTGACATCAAGTTATTTATTCACAAAACCCCTCTGCAAATATCCAAGACACATGGAGCTTAAGGTTTCCCCCACTGCTTCTATGACAAGAAAAGGAACGGGGCCGGGCGCGGTGGCTCAAGCCTGTAATCCCAGCACTTTGGGAGGCCGAGACGGGCGGATCACGAGGTCAGGAGATCGAGACCATCCTGGCTAACATGGTGAAACCCCGTCTCTACTAAAAATACAAAAAACTAGCCGGGCGAGGTGGCGGGCGCCTGTAGTCCCAGCTACTCGGGAGGCTGAGGCAGGAGAATGGCGTGAACCTGGGAGGCGGAGCTTGCAGTGAGCTGAGATCCGGCCACTGCACTCCAGCCTGGGCGACAGAGCGAGACTCCGTCTCAAAAAAAAAAAAAAAGAAAAGAAAAGGAACGGAGCGCAAGTCACGTTCCTCACTTCTCGCCCTTTGTTCCTGCCTGGACTCCTGCCTTCCTGCGAATATGTGATGTCTAGGCCTGAAGGATTCATTAAAGAATGCCTGCATAGCTTCCCTAGTGGCCTCCTATGTATAGCTGGGAGACCCTGAGGCCCACTTGGGGCAGTTGAGGCAGGGTTTGGAGGTAAAGGAGCATCATGGTGTTCAATCATATCTAAAATCTATCTCCATCCTGACCCCTAGATACCAGAATTTCAACAGAATTATTTAGACTTGTTTCCACAATGCCCCACCTCCAACCCCCAACCCTGACAAGAGTGGTTTGCACATGACATTAATTAAAAGATCTGCCAAATGCCCAGTCGTTTCTTTTATATTTACACACTCGCCTATTCTTTCCAACCACCCTTTGAGGGTTGGAAGTTATTTCCCTCACTTTAGACTTTAGAGAAGAGGAAATACGTCTCAAAAAGATTCATAAGAGATGAGATCCCACAGCTGGTGACTGGGGGAATCAGGACCCAAATGTGGATCTGGCACTCCAAGACCTCATGCTATCCTCATGGGCAAGGAGCACTGTCACCTCCCTGCGTGCGGCTACTCCATTCACAAACGCCTCCCCTGCTGGCCTGTCCCAGTAATCAAATTACCACCCTTGGAGAGCCATTGCTTTGAGTAACAGAGTTCAGTTGTTATACACTGGCTGGTATAAATTCATTTATCAGATTACCTCTTGAGATTACAGAACCAGGGATGTGGGCCTCTTGCTGGGAAGAAAAGGAAGGAACAGGCAGGCCGCCCTGCATGGAAAGAGGAGGCTTGCAATGAACGCCCCAATGAAGACTGAGCCCCTTAGGGCATGGGAATTCCTGAAACAGTACAAGGACCAGCAAAAGGACAGTATGTTTGCCTTCTGGCTTGTCTAGAATCTCTACCCTCAAACAGAGTCAAAATTAGGTGCAGGCATGACCCCCTACCCCTGCTCAGTCTGCATTTGCCTGCCTGCAATCTTAAGGCCAACTCTGCTCAGCAGAAGGACAAACTTGAGGAAGGACAAGAGATCATATATGAGATTGTAACTTACACTGGTGTTCTTCCCTAAAGCCACTGGCCCATCTTATTCCATCATGATTCTAGAGAAACATCAGGTTGTAACCACATTTTTGGCCATTCATTTATTCATCTATTTATTCAAACGACATTCCCTGAGCACTTCATGCTGGCTTCACCGTCCATACCCTCCAGGCCATCACTGACTTCCCAGCTCTGGTTCCCTAGTGCTCAGCCAACCCTAGTCTCTTCCTAAAATACCAAACTCCTTGGTTAACTTGACCGTAGATTAACGTTTCTTAACCTAGAACCCACTGACTCTTAGAAGCAATCAATGGAACATTTGCACATGTTTATTTATGACTATGAGGTTTTCTGGGAAACAGCACCTTCCTTGGTTTCATCAATTACCCACAAAGTGACCAATTGCTTAGGTCATTACCACAGCAGTGTTGCAATGTTATTCTTCTGAAGGGGCTTCCAACAATACAGAATGTACTACAGAATGCAACCCTTCAAGTTTGCAATGATGGATACTATAAAAGGAATGGGTGCACAAGTGAACCAACCCTGTAGTTTTGACTTTATAGTAAGTTCATTTTTAAAATGAGGATTAATTTTATTCACATTTGGTAACAAGAAGCTAGAGCTGTCAACACAGACATTTACACATGTCCCAAAAACCCTAAAATAGCCCTTGTAGCCAGCCACTAGATCCCATAAAACTGATGCCTTAATGGAACCATTCTTCCCTTATTGCAAAAATAGGATCCACATTGATAAACATGTTGTCAACTGTGGCAAAGAAAAGTAGGTTTGGGGTTTTTTTCAATAGTAACACTTCTGTTTTGTAGGAAGAACTGTTTACATTATATTTTCAGATTAATATTAGATTGGTATATTTTAAGTAGAATTTTGAAGAGTTTTCCTCTGCAGAAGTAAGATTAATTCACAGATTTAAAGAAATGAATCCAATCTAGTATGATAGCTTTCCTGCTGTTTGCTAGCTGCATTGAAGGTTTTAGCAGTTAATCTGGAATCCCAACAAAATCATAGCAAGCAAAATGACACTCAACACTCCATATGCAGAGAAATTTGTGATATTATCTGTACTTAACTACTTTGGCCCTTTCTCTTCCCTATTCTTTTTTCCCTGATAATTTTCTGAGCTCAGAGCAGGGAATCTACTCTCAGCCAGCTTCCCAAAAATGCTTGATATCCTGAATAACCATCAAATAATTATTGAGTGACTACTGTATGCCTTGATTTGCATTGAGTTTTATTAGAGGTACTTTAGGAAAGGCAGTACTTGTCTCTAGGGAATTGGTGCCACACATGAAATAAATAGAAAGCAATGTAATTTAATATCTAATTAAGTACTAAATTGTGAAGTGTTGACTCAAAGTGCTATTCAAATTTAGAGAACAGAGATGGTTTGATTCTTGGGACAGATTTGAAGTAAAGGTAAAAATTAGGTTAGATCTTGAAAGAAGATGGTAGTGATAATTCTAAAACCAGTACCATTAATA